AAAATGAAAGTACCTCAGCTACTCTCTTGTTGAATGGATGAAGTACTGCTTTTAAAATATCAATATATTTCAGAGCATCCGTAATTAAATTAGTTGTGATTTGATCTCCAGAAGCTACCGTATCCTGCAACCTAACCAGCAAATGGAATGGTGAAATCTATTAATCTATACTGATAAATGCAGTTCTTACCAAAAAAGAAAAGAAAAGAAAAAAGGGAAAATGCTAGTAGTTTCTTACACAAATTCAAGATGTGGATATCTATATGTAACAGAGATACAAATCAGGTTGTGAAACGGAATCTTGACAGTTGACACACACAGAAGTACGTGACATAATTATTGCAAGATTTTCCATTTTTCTCAGTTCCAGTAATAAAAGAAAGGAATGAGTGAAAAAGTTTGCATTAATATACCTTCGAACATAAACATCACCTCCAGTAATTTTCCTTTGCGAAGCTTGTATATCACAAAAAGAGCCACAACTCAAACAATGGCCTGGCTTAAAGCACCGCCAATAATCACTTTGCTCAAACATGTGGCGGGCTACTCCACCGAACTTGTTGTCATTGAGCACACACTCCTTCAATAAACAGAGCAAATAATACAATGAGCAAAATAAACTTGATCACAATTATATACATGTTTAGTGGTGTTAGTATACATGATGAAAATATAGATTATAGAGTTTTAGGAAGGTATATTATCCTCAATTAAGGGATATGATTTTATTTTATTAGCATAATTGATCTCTTAGTCAGTTAGTTGTATATATGAATAGAGCCTTTGTATCCATTGAAGTATAATGAAAAGATACAGAAATTCAGTTACAACAAGTGGCGCCACAGTAACCCCGTCATGCGAGACAATGTGATTAATTAGAAATGCCCGTTAATATGAAAAATGAAACACAACAATGATAATTACAGCAAGGTTTTCATTTTCCTACTGATCTTAATGGAATGAATAACCATTCTAGATATCATTAAGTGTGTAAAACTCTTATTCTTATGTAGTGTACTTTCATCTAAATGTGCAATTAAACAGGCCAAGTGTTCTAAGAGTTAAGCAAACAAGTTTAATAACAAGAATTTTGTGCAACTTACAAAAGTTCAACGCACAATACCTGTAAAGAGTTTACTCCTTCAAAGTATTTGAATTTCTCTAGCTCGTATTCAGCAACACCGATATCCAGGACAACTCCAAAGCACTTTGGCTTAGTACACCGGTAGCTAGAGTGGAAGAGATCCGGTAGATTCACTTGTGCACAGCCATTGCATTGACAGATAAATGAGTATCGATCTTCCAGAAACTTCCGACGCTCACTGCAATCCCACTCCCCAACCTGTCATCAATAATATACAACTTAGAACAAACTCAATAATTTTTATTTTTTTTTGCAATATATTGATTTTATATTTATGGTGTTTTGATAAGTTACTGAGCATAAAATGGATTCATGCTATTTATGTAATGATTGTCAATTGGTAATTATTTCATGGGGATAAAATTCCTTCATCTTAAATTCTTAGTCCACTTTGCTCCGACAAGAGACCAAAAAAATCAGTTAATTTCCATTTTTCAACAAATAGGATATATTTACCAAATTCAAGACCTGACTACCTGAGGGCCATAGGACAGTTCCAGTTCAGATCCAGCGGCAACATTTTCAGTTGCTCGTATAAATAAGGCACGTGAAAGGAAATATCCATGGACGTTGGGCTGGCAAGAGTGGTTGAATAAACTACCACCACAATATACAGCTTGAGCCACTTGGACCTATAAAAATATAATCTGAAGGATTTAGTATACTTGAAAGTCCACTTGGATCATATTGATACCCTCATACCGAACAGAAAGAAAGATTGATATCAGAGAAAACAATTATGCCTAGTAACATAAATGCAAAGCGTTTGATCACAGAGGAAATCACAACAAACAATCTTAAATGCCCTGCTATCTTATTGTCAATAGTATATAAAACTTATACAGCAACAATGTTTCCTCCAACCCCACCTTCCACATGCCCCACACACAAAACAAAACCAAAAAAATAAAAAATAAAAAAAATTAACCAATTTCCAAAATTTCTCAACCTGATATATTTAATGTCACTGTATTTACTAGGAGAATGATTAACGTTGAGACTATGATGACCGTTCAACCCCAATATCTAAATATTTCACCAGCAACTAATACCTGTTCCACAGAACTGGTTGCATCACAATTAGGATGCTGCTGTCCATCTGAGCATTTTATACGAACAATTGCCATGGAATTGACCCTAATTTTAGAGAGAAGCATAATAATNACATAAAAAAAAAAAAAAAGAGGGATATAAATGTATTGACAAAGACTTCAACGACGTGAACTTCGTATCATAACTATCGGAACTACCTCTGGTGCAATGGCCAACTCTGAAGAAAGTTTAGAACCATAAAATTGCCGAAGACAATGTAGCAGAATTATAGAGTAAATGTGATACTCCAATTTGGTTTCAGCTGAAAGTTGTTCATAATTCTGACAGAGATTCTAGAGGGGAAAAAAACAAAAAAAAAAAAAAAAAAAAAAAAAAAAAAAGCAAAAATGGTTTTCAGTCTGGAGCATAGTAAAACCACAAAACCAGGAAGCAACGCACAAGCAGACACCAAAAATATTTTTATATTTACATAATTACCAGGACCCCATGAAATATAGGATCAGCAGCACCAGAACCTTGTTCTTCCATATGCTTTACCAGAATACGGCCAGCCAAAACCACGTCTGATGGCAAAACTGCAGACCAATGCATGCCTCGGCATTCATGCCTATGTTCAGGAGCACGTTCGGTATTTGAACTTGAAATGGCAGGTAAAGTCACGCTTCTAATATGTCGTACAAGATCATGAGGCAAGTCATGTAGAGATTCATGGTCTTTCTTACAATTTGAAAAATATTGGTCCACAGCTTGCACTTGACATTTTAGGCTGCAGTATAATGGGATTGAACAAGACACACATGGCACAGTATCTGCTGGTAGTTCATTGAAGCAGAAAGCACAATGAGTTTCTCGACAGTGCTTTAACAGAATCTGCACCAATTTGCCAGGTTAGAATTCAAACAATCAGTATTGACAAAATTATACATATCAGATACCTGGGAGGATACATATTATCTAATATGCATGGTAAATATTATTGGTAATTGCTAGAGAGAACTATTGTTTGATTGAGATTTAGTCCTTACTGCAGCATAAGGTTCTTCTTTGTGAATTAAAGAAGCCAAAGGAATGTCGGTAGATGCGGCCATCCCCCTTCCTTTAGCTGTAGTGGAGACACAATGGAGATCCATTTGAAGTCTCTCATCTGTGACATAAGACCTACATTATATGAATCCAAGACAGTAGAAAAACACTTGTTACCAGACAGTAGATATTTAACACATGCACTCACACATATGAGAGAGAGAGAGAGAGCAGACAAAATAGTGCAAGCAGTAAAAGTAATGCATACTGGATATAATAGCTTAAAAATTGTAATCCCGCAAATGTTCATTTAGTGAAGGACACACGAAACAGCAGCCTCATACACAAGCAACTACACTAATTCTGCACGACAGTCTAATATTTATATCAACTCAACTGGTAGCTGGCAATAACAGTTCAACAATCACACTTCAATAGATACTTCATATCAGATTAGTCAATCGAAACAAAAATAACTCGTTTGATTTGTTCTACTCAGTTCCAGTGATATTAACCTCTCAGCAACCAACTCACTAGTTTACTTGACAAAACCAATCAGCCTTTAGTCCTGGATTTATTGGATGTAGAGTATAAGAGGTAATATAGGAAATCAGCTTGGGCAGTGAATCAAATCTAATATGTCTAGAGACAGAATTCAAAACCAGACCGTTACTTATATATCATTGATTACAGCAACGATTACTTCAATTGCAGATGGCAAAATTTTGAAGACAAACAGAGACTAGATATCAATACATATGTAAAGAAAAAGTGATATTGAGATGATCAAGCGCCCGAAAAACCTGAATTGTCATTATTTGGATTCTCTACTGCCTTGCTTCTCAACCTTGATTGGCCCATTAACATATTTAATTCACTTTCTATCTGTCTTTTCCCACTTGAGGATGTCTCCACGCTAAGGGATACATTCAAATCATCTATAGCATCTTTGTGGTTGCCCAATGAAGAATTTGCCTTGGATCGCCAGAACCATGCCTGGGAAAAATATGAATACATAATTTTTACTTCAAAGAGGAGAAACTGGCATGTGGATTCCTGATGTTATGCAATGACAAAAATACGTGTCCATAAATTATGTCAACTCTGAGTGAGTTAGCTTTCAAGTGAGTCTTGAACAGTAAAATCACAAGTTTTCAGCAAAATGATCAAAAGATGATGGTCAGCAAAACCGCACAAGGTTCCTGAAGGCTGCAATATACTTTCTACATAACTACATTTAAGTTAACAGGGGTAGAAATAAATGAAACCCGTTGCTCTAGGATTTTAATCCTTTTTTGTTCTTGTGTCCTTATTACATTTTAAGTGAAATGAACGTGATAGATGATGAAAACCACACCTTCGCATATGCAGGGGATATTATGAGAGCCCGGCTGCAGTCACGCAGACTTTCCGGAAATAATCCCAATTTCTGAAGATAAACCGGCAAAAAGAAATCATGAATACAGAAAGAATCAATCAAATTTATTAACTCAAAACAATTGCATCAAATGGATCAGAACCTCTGCTCAAGAAAATTAAATAAATAAAAAAGTGGACCAGGTGATATGATAAGCCTTCCATTTTTAAGCCCATAATAACCACAATAAGAAATCACTCCTGTGTAATATAATACACATAGTGCAGGAAAAGATCGTGGCAGAACTCACATGCAATGAGGATGCACGATTGAGGAACAATGTAGCGACCAGATTTTTCTCCTTATCCTTGACATCCGTTGGAGCAACACGCAGAGCCTGCTTAATTCATGTGAAGAGAATGATTACATGATTCATCTTAATCACTAAAGCACAAAATCCACATTTCAGACATGGTTTGGTAACCACAAAATACAGAACTTTAACAAGATCCATACTTTGCCTTTTCTCTACTTGAAAACAATCGGGAACCAGAAGAAGATACAAGTATTGAATACAACGTTAGACGTTCCAAACAAAACCTGAAGCCTTAAAATTAAAAGGTCATATGTTATCCAAACATTTAAGATAAGTAACACATCTGACATGTACAAAACCCAGAGTTGATACTTCGGGCACAACATGAATACTTTCCCATATAAACTAATGCTCGTAAAAACTAAATAGAATATCAAAGAGTGAGGCATTAAGACCAAGGGAAAATACGAGCCCAAGGATGTTGGCCATATTCAGTTTGGTTCCCACTTCATTTTCTATTTCATCTTGTATTTCAGCACACCGAATAATTTGCACGTGTAAAATTATTCCATCATCCAGCATTTAGCTAAAACAGAAGATAAAATTGAAAAACAAAAAAAAATGAAATAGAACAACCCATAGGACTTGAGCTCCTCCTTAATGTGTAAAATTTAGTTATTAGAGCTAAACGATCCATCTTTTTTGTTTAACCTGTGAGTAGAAATGCGATGCACTTGAATAATCCCCTTTTGAAAAGCACTCATTGCCTTGGGCCTTGGCTTCCATCGCACCTTCTTTACTCTTCCCGCACAAAGCCATTTCTGGGCTCGTCAAGTCTCTAACCATCTACACATGCTCGATCGAATATAAGAGAGGCAAAAAAGGAAAATTAAATAACGATACACGAGCTTCTAATTTATTCATTAAAAGCGTGTACCTGGTGAAACAGGTGCGATGTCTCGAAGAAATTAAGGAGAGAAGAGCACGTTGACCGGAGGTCATCGGTCTTGCTCTCCGAGATTCTCCGCCTCAGCTCTTCAGGGATTACTGATTTCAGCTTCTCCATGCTTGTGAAAGATACTGAGCAAGAATTCGAAGTTCGAGCGAACAGGATGAATGAAAGAAGGCTGGAGTGTGATGTAAAATCATGTTCCGTACAAAATTTTATTTCATAATTTATGTATTCTTTCTGTTCCTTTTGTCGTTCAAGTATTCTTTTGTTTTTGCCACTTTAATTAGTAGGGAATTTTAATAAAAAAAAATTATAATTATATAGTCTATTAACCCTTTGTTATTGAGTTTTTCAATGGCATCCCCCTTTCCTAGTTTTGGTTTTATATTTTATTTTATTTTAAAATCTAAATTTAAATGAAAATATTAAAAAAAAGTATTTTTAAAATAATGGTCAAATTAAAATTATGAATAAATATAAAATAAAATATACTAACTAAATTAATTTGATATAAATAACAGAATATTATTTATTAAAATTGAAAGTTCAAAATATGTGAACAAATTCCTTTATAAATAATAAATAATTTTTATTTTTTAATATTGTTAGTGCATTTATAAATAAAAAAATACATAAATTAAATAATATAGCTTTGGGAAAAAAATATTATAATAGCTTAGCAAAATAATTGACTGAACAAACATATGCGTAAGTAGGAATTATAAAATTAATTCATATAATGTTGTAATAAAATTTTACAAGCAACCCAATAAATTAGCAATATACTTATCTTCAATAGTTAAATGAAATTTTACATGTAACCCTATAAATTAACATATATACTTGGGCTATATTTGGTAGACAAATATGCTAGCTTATAGCTTATTTAGTTAGTTTATAAGCTCTCTGTTTTCAAATAAGTTCCGTTTGGTAGGACGAACTTTTTTAAAAGCTCGAGCTTATTTTATAAGCTTCTTTGGGTAGCTTTTCAAATAAGTTCATTGAAATTTTTATTTCAACTAACTTATCAGCTAATTTTACTCAACACTTTTATCATATAAACTAATTTTTTAGTTATAAATTATAAGCTATAATGTATAAGATAAAAAATTTAATAGTGTGTCAATTAAGAATTTACAACTCAGCGTTTTGATAAGGTAATAATTTAAAATTTAAAATTTGAACAATTAGGTCAACAACGTATAATTTCCACTAAAAAATAATTTCAACAATTTTCATAATTTATATTTCAAAATTGTTTTTATTCAAATAAATAAAAGACGGCCGATAGAAGCAGAAACTTTCAGTGAGCCCTCAGCCCCCACCGGACACGGCCAGTTAACGAGAGAAAGGAGGTGGTGCTCCACCAGTAAAGCCATCGTCTTGCCGATAAGGTAACTGTCTAATTTTCTCACATTTATCTAAAATCCTTCTCCAATTTCTGCCGCTCTATTCACTCCACAACTCCACGGATGTTGCTAAAATTGCTCTGGACATTATTAATGTTCCTCGAAGTTTGTTTGTTGAATAAAGAATCGCTTTTGTTGAATGGGCTGTAATAGTTATATGCTCTGTATTAGGTAAACTAGAATTTTGGGTTTCTAAGNCAGTTTGTTTGCGTGAATGTGCATTGTTGTTGATGCAATTTATTCTGCATATTTGATTTGAAATTTTCATTGTGATGATGGGCAGCAACAAATGGCCGGACAATTAGAACGAGAATGGACTGAGCTTGACAAGTTTCCTTATGCCAGTCGAGAAAAAGTGTTCGAAATGTTTGCAAAATTAAGGAAACAGGTTCACTTAACTTTCTTGGTTATAATTGTTTCTAAACCTAGCTCCGATTGAGTTCATAACAATGCCGTAAGTACGTTAAGGTTACGAACAAAAAGGCCCTTATGTTTCGATTTTGTGTTCCGAATTCCAAAGTCGGTCTAAAAGTGCCTTTGTAAATTGCTACACTCTATGTTTTATTTATTTAAGCATATTGTTCTGTGATTAGGTCTTCCATGTCTGAAATCTGGATCTATCAACAAATGATCCTGGATAAGTTTGATTGGGGGCTGCAATGCTGTTTAATATTGTTATTTCTTGTAGAATGCCTACACAGTAACAATCCTGGTGATGGGGAAAGGTGGTGTCGGTAAGTCTTCCACCATAAATTCCATTATAGGGGAACGAGTGGTCCCTGCTGGTGCTTTTATGGTAACTATCTTTTATATATATATATATATATATAGGAAAATTTGAGTTGTGTAAATTTCATATAGTTATGTTTTATGATGATCTGCTTATCAGGAATAAATATGTCAAATTTTATTTCAGTCGGAAACCCCACGTCCCGTGCTTGTCTCACGGTCACGATTAAGATTAGGTATTATATTGAACATTATCGACACTCCAGGGCTTGTTGATGGAGGATACATCAACGAACAGGTGCTGGATGCCACAAAAAGGTTTGAGATTGTGGGGTTTAATTATCTCTTGTTGAAATTCTACAGTTCACAAACCCTTTCTTTCAGTCTAGTCTCCTTTCTGCTAAAGATGACTTGCTATATTTTTGTGTTTGGGCTTCCCGGGCAGGGTCCTCAAGGGAAAAACTATAGATGTTTTGCTTTACGTGGACCGTTTGGATTCGTACAGAGTTGATGATTTGGACAAACAGGTCGTGAAAGCCATTACCGATAGTTTTGGCAAAGAAATATGGCACAAAGCAGTGGTTGTACTCACTCACGCTCAGTTCTCGCCTCCGGATGCTTTGGGTTTTGAGGAGTTCTTTTACAATAGATCAGAGTCCGTTTTGAAATGTGTATGCGAAGGAGCTCGGATGAGCAAAAAAGATGTTCACGTATGATCTCTTTTTATATCATATTCATCTTTTGTCTACTCAGGACAATTTTTTTTTTTGTTAAGGGAGTATTTTGTAATGTTGAAATATCACCAGATTTTGTAGCTAGTCTAAACCTTGGCATAAATCTCTTTGAAGATTTGGTAAAGGTACGCGGTACAATCGTATACCGGTGGACTCTGTAAGGATTCTTGATATGCATGTTGACTGAAATTGGAGAGCTATCTGATTCCAGTTTAGATGCACATTTGATAATTGCCATGTTGGAAGCGTAATAGTAGTATAATTATGTTTTTTTAGATGGAAGAGTGATTTTAGAAGCTGAAGGTAGGAAAATACTCATAGAGGACTTATAAATATTGTCATTATGTCTTTTGAAGTCTCAGCTTTCAACTGGTCATAAGTTTGACCTTCTTCTCTGAAAATGTGAAATTCCAAGTAGGGTTGATGTTAAAATTATTTCAGGAACTTTGGTACGCGAAGAAACTTCGAATGCGTTCAAACTTGATTTGCAGCCTGTGTCTCTGCTAATTGACTTTCGCATAGTATTTTATTCTGGCTTTATATGTTTTTCCATTCCTTTTCCTCTAACACTTTGATGCTTATTCCTGTTTGTAGGAATTTTCTATTCCTGTTGCTTTGGTTGAAAACAGTTGGAGGTGTAAGAAGAATGAACAGGATGAAAAGGTAATTAATTACTTTTATAATTTTTGCGTATTATGAGATTTTATTACGAAAAGTTTTTTTTTTCTTTTTAGGTCCTTCCAAATGGCACTCCTTGGATTCCCAATATACTAAGTACCATCACCGATATCGCCTTAAATGGAAAAAGGGGTATTCTCATTGACCAAAAGTTGATTGACGGTCCAAATGCTAATGACAGAGGAAGAGTATTCATCCCTTTAATCCTTGCATTCCAAGTAAGCCTCTCTAAACTTGTACACTCCCGACTGTTACTTTTTATTAACTTGGACACAAATTCTAAGAGATAATAATGTGATTCATTTTTCCTCTCCTTTTTGTGACAGTACTTCTTTGTCATCAACCCAATCCGTAGGCAGATAAAAAACGATGTTGCCAGATAAACACGTCATTATGGGCGCGAACAATCATTAACTTCCAGTTGATGATCCTTTGTTTGTTTTCCTATGCTACTTTTGTCTTATTTTTTCAATTGCTCATCACCTTCTTGCTTGTCGACTTCTTTATTTTGATCTGTTAGTTAAAGAACATTGGTGATCTTTTTAGTGGGTCGATTTAGAGTCGAATTGAATTGGCACTAGCTATGGAGCAATCTTGCATTTTAATTTGGGGAAATGTTTATTAGGTCCATGTAATGGTAATTTATGTTTAGTGTTCGATCTTAACATGTGAACAAGATTTTCCTGTTGTCAGAACTTAGAACTATGCTAGACGTCTAGCTCGATGGCAGAAAAATTCAATGATATTAATTTTGTAAATGTCCTGTGATCTATGAATTTCCTAGAACTTGTTAATTTTTTATTGGGAAATAGAGTGAATTGTGTAATCTGCAAGATTATTGTACATATTGTTAATTCAAATTGAAGGGTTGATTTTGTTGCTCAACCTTTCTAGCAACAGTGCTGATGCTCCTTAACAGGAAGATTATGGGATAACATGGAGAAAAATAAAATAAAATGTGCTATATATGGATCTTGTTTTTAGTGGTAATACCACAACTAAATGGCCATTTGATGGTTCTAGAAAAATAGAAAAATGACCATCTTGAGTTTAAAAAAAATGGAAATTAGCTACTTAGGCTTGTAAAATTATAATTTTAAGCCTAATCATTTAGGGTATGCTTTGGTGAATGTAGTTGAAAAACAAAAACTAATTGATAGTTGATTAATTAACTTATAGCTTATAGCGTGTTTGGTAAACATATAGCTTGTTTTGGTAAGACGATATTTTATAAAAAGCCCGAGCTTATCTTAAGCTTCCTTGGATAGCTTTTTGAATAAGCTCATTGAAATTTTTATTTCAGTTAGTTTATTAGTTAATTTTACCAGATACTTTTATCATATAAGCTAGCTTTTCAGCCATAAGTCATAAGCTATCAACTATAAGCTCGAAATTTACTAAAAAACTATAAGCTAGTTTATTAGTTAAATTTAACAAACATAGCCTATAAGTTAATTTTGAGCTTATTAGTGATGGCTAAAAAGCCACCTAATATATAAGTGTTGGCTTAAAAGACATGTAAAAATATTGGTATTTTGAGCTTATTAGTGATGGCTAAAAAGCCACCTAATATATAAGTGTTGGCTTAAAAGACATGTAAAAATATTGGTAAGGATTTTCGAACTAAACATTCTCATGTTCAAGTCTGTTTACATACATCAGACCGACTTTAGTATCTAGCTAACCAAGCTAAAACTCAAAAACGGTCGTGTGAATCGAACTCTTAATTACTTGCTATATCATATATTATGTTTGAAAAAAAAAAAAAANAAAAATTGAGGTGTCTGCAGTTTTATTCATAAAAGTCACCTCTAACTTTTGGACGTGGGATGGAATTTTTTCAATTTAAATAAAAAAAAAACGTTATTAATTATTTGGTGAGAATCGCATGGGATTTTTCGTTTTCTAATTAACTTTTGCTAGTATATGGAACAAAGGAAGCAAGAATCGCATGCACCCCCATACACAACAAAAATAAATGAGTCTAGTATGTTTCCTTTTGTCTTTTTTCAATTCCACACTCATAAACCCCTAATTTCTAACTCCTCCAACTCTTCACCTATAAATTCCCCTAAAAAAAACCTCCCATCACACACACACAAACACACACTCACAAATGAAATTCAAACCACTAGCAATGACAAACCCATCATTCTCCACAATCCTCATCCTCCTCCTCCTCTCCATAACCCTAGCCCTCTCATGGCCCGACCCATCCCTCGACCGGCACTTCAAACTCCTCGCCAATTCCCGAAACTCAACCCTCACCAAGCTCCAAATCTACATCCACGCCGACTTTCTCGTCCACTCCAAAACCCAGACAGTCTTTGAGGTGGCCTCGTGTGACATCACCGCCGAGTCGCCAGGGTTCTACGGGCGAGTCTACGTCATAGACAACCCGCTCACCGTCACGGCGGATCCCGGCTCGGAGTACCTCGGCCGGTACCAAGGGACCAACGTCTACTCCGATTTTCGTGAGCCGGCCGCCAACATGAACATGGCTATGACTTTCGAGGGCGGGATTTACGAGGGGAGCACGATTAGTATTTTCGGGAGGCAGCCCGTGAACGAGGAGGTTCGGGTGTTGTCGGTGGTGGGTGGGACTGGGATTTTCCGGCTGGCGAAGGGAGTCGTGCTGGCGAGAACCGTGTCGCTTGATTCGATTACGAAGGTGGGACATTACGTGTACGTTATCTACGTGTTGACTCCGGCGGCGGCAGCCGGAGGGGATGTGGCGGCGGCCGCCTAGGTGGCTTTTTGTTAGTTTGATTTTATGCATTATTTATGCATGCGTGTGCTTTTTTTTTTTTCCCTTAATGATGAATTAATGAATAATAAGGGTGTTTGTACGCGTTTTAATTTCTTGATGAGGTTTGTTTCTCTTTGGTTGAGTCTGTCTTTTAATGTATCGAACAATGTTGTATTAGTTTTGTTGTTGAGCACGATATTTCTAACTGAGACGTTAATATGTTTATAACGATATCAATAAAAATTTACTTGAATATCTTAAAATTGGAATAAAATAACTTTTTAGGGATGATTGTTTATGGATTCAACTAGTTTTTATTTGGTTTGTTTTTTAACTATAGTTAATTAATTTTAAAAAATGTTGGTATGGTTAGCTGTTAGTGGATATATTAAAATAATATTTAAATAAAATAATTAAAATTGATTTGATGTAAAGTAGGAAAAACATTATTGAAAGTGATGGTTAGTTAAAATTATGTGAGTGGATGAATAGTGAATTAAAGTTGATGTGATGTGTAAGAATGATTGGTTGATATTATTTAATTATATTGATAATATTGAGGATAATGTGGTTGTGTTAAATTTAAGTTTTGATTGATTTTTATTAATTGAAACAATAAACAATCACCAGTCTTACAAGGAATTGAAGATGAATTGAAACACCAGTCTAAATCTTAAAGATGAATTGAAGATTAATTGCCACAAATCTTCCAAGCACCAGTCTCTTATTTAGTGTTGTGCCACTTTAAACTACGTACAAGGAAGCCACCACCTGTAGTAGAATGTTACTTCAATCTAATGTAGAGTTAATTACTAATTTATAGCTAGGAATCTAAAATTTAGATTTCGGTAGTATTTTGCGCTATATTTACTCTACACATAAAACGTATTAGTACAAAACAAAATTTAAATAAAACTATAAAATTAAAAACTAAATTATTTAACAGAAAACAGTATACACTTTTGTCAAAATAATACATTAAGATAGATAGAAATTAATACCAATTAAATTAAAAAAAAAAGGGCGAGAGTTTTAGTGCGATGTTATTCATATCTCCAAAGTATTATAAGAATATAATGCAACATTAGAACAAGTTATTGTGGAGCATTGAATTTGCTAGAATGCTAAATGTTAAATGTTACAACAGATTAACTATTTCAATCCAAATAGTTTGAGACCTGGTAAATTCATTTGTACATATCCGAATAGTTTTAACTAATAATACACATTTTGTCATTTTGGATTCAATTTCTCATAAAATTTTTTTGAATAATTATTAATAAAAATTTGAAGTGGGCTATATGCTGCAATAAAAATCAAATGATTTAATTGTTGGAGAATGATAGGTTTATCAAAATCAGATGATATAAGTTTCGTTGGAAATGTTTTGTTTAAATTTATGTTGGATTCTGATATTTTCAATGATGGTTTTTTCAACAATTGAAATTATTGGCGGGGAATACAATTTCAATGGAAATTTCTATAATAATCAACTGTAAAAAAATGATGGAATCATCAAATTCTAACTAGAAGAATTTCAAGGAAAAATTAACTTTAGTAAAAAAAAAAAATTAGTGCTGACTTCCGCTGAAATGCATTTTTGTTGGAATGTTTTTCTATTGAATTTTCATTGATTTAACTTTTTAGTGTTATTTTAATTATATTCATAATTCATTGAAGGCACTGATTTAACAAGAGAAAATGCAATGTCATGCAAATGTCAGTGTAAAAAAATGTTGCAAGTAAGCTCATTTTCTTTTCAGAGCCCATTTTTCTCCTTTCCCGGTGGCCTCGAAAAATGCCAAGACCGGCCTTGAAGCTTTTTAATAGTGTTTTTAATTGTTATTGAATATTATTTGATATTTAATATTTTTTTTTCATGATTTGAATAATTATCACTTTAATTAAATATATATTATGTTACATTTTGGAGGGGCTTGTTTTGACCCAGGCACAATGGAATATTTACACTTTTTACAATAGAAAAGGTGGCTGTATTATTGAAGACCAAGCTTCTCGCGGACCACGAGCACAAATGGGACAAAAATGCCTGCACATTCGTATTGGACAATCATTTTCCACGCGATGCATGCAAAATAATTGTGAAAATTGAAATATGATGATATCCAATAAATTTTTAATAAGCCTCTAGCAATTAAAGTGAAGATGTATCAAATGTGTTACGAATTACTATAGAAGCATTTTACTATATATCAAATGTTTNGAAAAAAAAAAAAAAAGGAGCTTATTATCAACTTCTAAAATGACACGAAAAGTAGACTATTTCATTATTCAGACACTTAACAAATTTGTTGTGATGGTGAATTTTTAACAAAGGTGTATAATCATCAATCTTTCCATGGATGATGGAAACATTAAAATAATACGTTATTCACAAATTTGATATAAAAACACATCCTAAAATAAATATATTCAAGCCAAATATCAATACATCAATTAATGGATAGTCAGAGTTACAGAATTTTTGGTATAAATCTTAAGAAATGACTACAGTCCCATTACAGAATGATTATGTCAGTGTGTTTTTATCCACAAAATCATTTCTTGACGGGACTGTAGTGATTTCCATACAATGCAAAGGTTCATAATCTCATTTTATCCTAATGATTAACATTAATATTTCCAATGTTAATGATATTAATATTAATATGATAATATCAGGAACTTAATTGATAATATTAAACCACAAAAAACAATCTTCATAGTTTACCATTGCCAAAGTATATGCCATTTCTACTTCAAAGCAAAATGAATAACAATAACTATATATCTCCTTTTACCACACTTCTACACCTATAAATACTCCACCCTCTAATCCCCACATTCCATCTAAACCCACAAAAACACTCCCAAAAAAGCAAAAAAAAAATAATAAAAAAAAAATGGCTAACCCTCTCCTTATTACCATCCTCATCCTCTTCTCAACCATCCTCGTCTCCACCGCCGCCCGCCACATCACCCTCGACCATGACAGCTGGCTCGAAACCCTAAACCCAACCGAAGAAGAGAAATTCACGAAGCTCCACTTCTACATCCACGATTTCGTGAGTGGGCCCAACCAGACGGTCTACAACGTGGCCGAGTCCTCCATCACCTCCGAGTCGGGCTCGTGGTTCGGGCGAGTCCAGGTGGTGGACCACCTCATCACAACCGGGCCCGACATCGGGTCCGAGAAAGTGGGCCGGGTCCAGGGCGTCCACGTCCTGTCAGACCTCCACGTGGCAGCCATCACAGTCAACTGGAACTTCCTGTTCGAGGACGGGAGCACGATACTTGTCTTGGGCCGGCTGGTAGCGTTTGCAAAGGAGGGTGAGCTGGCAATCGTGGGTGGGACCGGGAAGTACCTCATGGCGCGTGGGGTGGCCTACAAGACGACTTTGAGGATGGATCCGGACACGTTGAACAGCATCATGGAGTATACTATGTACGTGTACTCGAGCCCGGGGGCATTTTCGGAAGTGTGATCTCGATTGATATTGTGTGTTTTTTATTTTTCTTTTTTTTGGGGGGTAATTTCGTCAAATAATGATGTTTGATGCGGGTTGTACCCGGGTCGAAGGTCGAGGTTTAGTTTGTTTATTTTGAGTTTGATTGTACTTTCGTTTTGCGTGTTCGTGTTTTTGATGTTTTTGGTTTGTAAACGTTTGTGTTTAATTAATGTGGTTTGCTTTGAGAAGAAGAGATCATCAACTTGATCGGTTTGTCTAGATTATTGATACTTTTCTAGAGCTGAATTAAAGTATATGTTATTTGCTTATTACCTTAGCAGATTGACAAGTGACAACAGTAGTGGACCTGAGAGACAATTAATATAATTTTATTATTATCACATCATCCTACACCCACTCATAAGGGAAAATCTGGTTGTATTTTAAAAGGATGTTTTTGGGGAAAATTGCAAAGTATACACACTAATTTGGGTAGATGACAATTACCCAATACTTTAATGATTGTTCAAGTGCACACTAATTAATCATATCCCTCCAAATATCTGAGTTAATGGGTATTTTTTGTAATTATTTTTGCACTTTTGGGCATATTCTTCTCGATATTTAATAGTTACGGGACATTTTGTATAATCGCAAAAGTTATTAGGCAAAATTATCATCTGCCGGTGTATTTTGCTTTTTATTTTTCCCCATATTTGTGTAATTAGTTCGAGATTTGATTATAAAAACTTTATACTTTTAGTGGAATAATGATATTTGCTTGGATACAAGACATCTGAATAATATTCAAACATTTTTAACTCAATCACTTTTTTTAAATTAAATTTTAACTCAATCTCACTATCCTTAATATTATCAATATAATTAAATAATATCAATCAATCATTGTAACACATCATATCAACATATCAACGTTATTGCCCCTTTCATCAACTCCCATATCACTTCATGGCATTTATCTCCTACTTTTACATCAAATAAACTTTAATTATTTTATTTTAAATATTAATTTAATATAAACTCAAAATTTCACTAACAACTAATCATATCACATTTTNAACCCAAACAAAACCAAGACAAAAACCAGGAATTTTCATATCCAAATGTGACTTAATTTCATTATCTCACCCACCAATAAATTATTTCATTTTATTATTTCCAGATGACATTATATTACAACACATAATTACAACGGCTAACTAGCCAATTAAAAACATCTATTCAGTTAAATTTAGAGAAAGGCCTACAGAACCTTCTTAGCCAATTAAAAACATCTATTCAGTTAAATTCAGAGAAAGGCCTACAAAACAAGAAGGTTCGTAGCCTAAATACAACAACAATATGATAGTATGACATCACAACATAAATTGAAATCTACGTCATCTATTTATTAGCTTGTGTTCCATCTGCTATCATAGACAAAAGGCACATAAGTCGATCAACTAAACGCTTCAAGATTGATTCCATATAAGCAGCACAGACTAATTACCACCCCTATCAATTTACAAACTGATTTCTTACACAGCTAGTAAAAAGAAAAGCAACAAAAACCGAGTCTGTCATAGAAATTTTATTCAAAGAAATCCCTTCACATCAAAGACCCTGAGACATTTGTTCCATAGCAAGCCAAAAATCAGCTTTCTTCATCAAAAGGGTACAAAAGGATCCAATTCCAACAGGCATAAAAAAAAAAAAAAAAAAAAAAAAAAAACATTTGATTCGTCGAAAGACATGATATAAATCAGCCCTGTGTTTAGCCTCTTAACCAGTAAGAGCTGCATTGAGAGCGCTGTGCACATCGACCCCAATTTGAGCTTCAGCTTTTTCAAGTTCAGTTGTCGCTGAGTTTAGCTTATGCTGGTAAATAGCAAGGCCTGTCTGAACCAAGTTTGGTTCAATTTGGTCAACTGGGGTGGCCTCAACAACCGCAATATCGGCAACAGAGTTTGCATGGATGATAGTAAAACCGCCGCTAACAAAGTACTTGGTCACATCATTACCTTCGTGAACAGATAGAATCCCGGGTTTAAGCTCCGCAATTGTCGGTACGTGACCAGGCAAAACACCCATCTGCCCTGTAGTTGCAGGAATAATGACCATATCAACCTGAAAAAACACATCAATAACTTATGGATCGAGCATAAGCAGAAGTTGTTAGAACCATGAAAAAATGCGACACTTTCATAATATTTTAAAGGAAAAATAAAAATGAACTTTGTCTTTTAAAAACAAACTAGGCAGCACCAGAGCCACAATTGAAATTTAATAGATGAAATTTCAAGTATCGGAATAATTTACAGCAGCTTGATAGTCCTAATAATATTTTTTTTTTTGTCCACTGTTGTTGTCTTGACAAAGAAGAATGTTCCTTAAGGTTCTACTGATATAAGAAATCAACCATTCATGAGCTTATGGTGCTTCCAAGTTCTAAAAGTTGTAGTGTAAATGTGTAATGCCAGCCAAGAATAACACAGGACTAGAGAATAATTCTTGAGTAGTTAACCGTGACAGTGGTTAGTGAATACAACTTTTCAGATAATTTATGGAAAGTTAACCAAGAGTTGATCAATACCAATATATCTTAGATGCACTTATACAACTATAGCAGCTTAGAACCTCTGGAACTGCAGTGTTTTGGTTCAGAGAGAAATCAACACAAATTATGATCGCATGACTCAAGTTCTACGTAAAATTCATCTAAACACTAAACTTTTGCTGGCCACCAAAAGATGAATAGAACTTCATCCACAACTTCAAGATAATATATACCACACAAAAATTTGGCAAATATAAAAGGTACAGAAACAAGAGAACCAAATTTGTTTCTTAAAGAAGTCCGAACAAGAGCAATAGCGGCCAAGTTTTATACATTCAAACAAGACACAGCAACAGAAATCCGAAATGTAAATTATACAATTTAAATTGGAGCTTTAAAATGCTGGTAATCAGCATTACCAATATTCCCCAAATTTGAAGGTTCCAGCTTTTGAACCGCTCCAAACATAATGTCACAAAATTCAAGGATACTAATTACTTTATACCGTTGCATTTCCTCCCAATTAGACCTCACCCACCACACGTATTCAAAATCTTTTTTTCTCGAAACACCTACTCAAAATCAACAGCATAAATAATCTATAAATCAATCCTAGGAACTCGAGTGCTTGTGCCACATAACCATTACCAAACCCCATATTTGACAGGTTTTAACAGTTGCAACCAAAAGATAACTCACGGCACTTTAGAACCAAGCTCACAAGAATTAGCATTTCAACCATGCCAATTTCACACGCATTTAAGAAATAACATCAGCACTCAACAAGGGACTTCAGAAACTACGCATCCATAACCCAGAAAAATAAGATACGTGAATCTAAAGAAAGCATTAACACATTCATCAAAATCTTCAAAACAAACAAGCACAGAGAACACCACGTACACGCAGCTAAAGATAGATCAAACCATGAGCACCAATTCTTCATAAGTCCCTCATACAATAACAAATCCATTTCACAGCTGAACTGGTAAAAAGAATCCAAACCTCCGGAGAAAAGAACAACTGGAAGTAAAAAAAGGAAAGATATCTCAAGGGTTGCGAGTATGTGAGAGCGAACCTCTTTGCCGGACAACACGGAATTGTACGGAAGAACGAAATTGACGGTCAGCTTTGACGGGATTGTGGATGGGGTCGGCGGGCGAGGAGCCATGTAGGCCGAGGGGGTTTTCGGTGGATCCATATTCGGCATCACTTTCTTCCAGGCCTCGACGAACTTGGAATCTCCCGCGGTCTCCGCCGGTAGATCGGTGGAAAATGGGCGGCTACACCTCATCGAGGCGGCGGAAGCTCGGCTCAGGAGGAAACGTGAACCCTGTCGCAGCATCTTGAGCAGCCTGAGTGTGTGAGTGTGTGTGAGAGAAATGAGATTTGGGGGAAAATAGAGAAACAAAGACGGAGAATGACAAGAGAGGAAGCGATTTGGGAGAAGTTGGATACAGGTTAATGGGCTAGAAAATCCAAGTCTAGTATTGGGCTTCAAAAGTTGGGCCTTAAAAATTTATATTGAGACCCATCTTGCATAGTTTCTTAGGCTTTTTGAATTAGGCCCAACATAAAGGGTGGTTCTGTAATTATCCTACAAAATGAAAAATGGGACAACGTTGGTTGAACCTGGCCGTCGTAGCGGCTGCGGTCGGCGCACTTTGGGCGGCATAAATTGCAGAAATGCACACACTCCACTCACATGGCGCCGGCGCCTCATTCCCCTTTCTACCTCAATATCCCCAAATTACTAACCAATTCCAAGCTTGCGTACTCCACCTCCAGCTTCCCTCCCAATCTGAAACACCTGTTTTCCAAGCCGCCGATAACTGCCGCGTCCTCCGACGGCGCCGTCGCAGAACCTATCCACAGTGACGACGAAGAACACGATGCGATCCCCGCCAAAACCAGGAAATCCCGAACCATGGCCCAACTTATCAACTCCAAACCCTGGTCGGCCCGACTCCCGTCCTCCCTCTCCGCGTATACTCCCCTCTCCCAAACAGCTTTCTTCCAAACCCTCCGCCGCATCAAAGACCCTTCAAAGGCCCTCCGCTTCTTCAAGTGGGCCCGACACTCGGGCTTCACTCACAACCACCACTCTTACTTCATCATGCTGGAAATCCTGGGACGGGCCCGGAATCTCAACCCAGCCCGAAATTTCCTCCTCTCCATACCCAAGAATTCTGGCAACACCGTCCAGCTGACCGATAAATTCTTCAACAGCTTGATCCGAAGCTATGGCGATGCCGGGCTTTTCCAGGAATCCATTAAGCTGTTCAAGGTTATGAAATCCATGGCCATTGTGCCTTCTGCTGTTACTTTTAATAGTTTGTTTCATATTTTGCTCAAAAGGGGTCGGCTAGCGATGGTTCATGAGCTGTATGATGAAATGCTTAGGACTTATGGGGTGAAGCCCGACTCATATACTTTCAACATCTTGATAAGAGGGTTATGCAAGAACTCCAAGGTTGATGAGGCGTTTAGAAGGTTTAAAGAAATGGACACATTTAACTACAAGCCCGATCTGATAACTTACAATACTATCGTTGATGGATTGTGTAGAGTGGGAAAAGTGAATGTTGCACGTAATGTGGTGAACGGTATGCTCAAGAAGAGTGAGGACTTGAGGCCAAATGTCGTTACTTACACCACTTTGATCAGAGGGTTTTGTGGAAAACGAGACATTGACAAGGCATTGGGTGTGTTTAGAGAGATGATTGATGGAGAGATTAAGCCGAACAATATTACTTGCAACACACTCATACAAGGGCTTTGTGAATCTCAAAAGTTTGACATGTTAAGAGAGGTTTTAGAGGAATGTGAGAGAGAAAGCGATGGGTTTGTTCCTGACACATGTACTTTCAACACATTGATGAATGCTCATTGTAATAACGGGAATTTGAAGGATGCATTGGGATTTCTCGAGAGGATGGAGGAGATGAATGTTAAACAGGATTCAGCCACTTACAGTATTCTAATCCGTGCCTTGTGCCAAAATGGTAATTATGGGAAAGCTGAAGAGTTGCTGGATGAATTGTTTGAGAAGGAAATTTTGTTGCACGATAACAATTGCACACCACTTGCCGCATCATTCAATCCCGTTTTCGAGTATTTGTGTGCAAACGGGAAAACCAAGAAGGCCGAAAAAATTTTGAGGCAGCTAATGAAAAGAGGCACACAGGATCCAGTTGCTTTCGAAACTTTAATCTTGGGGCACTGTAAAGAAGATACTTTTGAGGATGGACACAAGCTCTTAGTCCTGATGCTGAGAAGATACTTTTTGCCCAGTTTTAAGATCTATGAATCTCTAATCAAAGGCTTGTTGAGAAAACAAGAGGCGGACCTTGCACACGATACTCTGGAGAAAATGGTGAGAAGTTCTTATTTGCCGAGAACGTCTGTTTTCCATTGTGTTTTGACGGAGCTTATTGAAAAAGGTTTCGCTCGTGAATCTGCAGACTTGATGCTACTGATGTTAGATAAAGAGATCAGACCAAACATCAATCTCTCCAGTGATGTTGTCCGATTGTTGTTCAAGAGCCGCATGCGAAACAGGGCATTTGAGCTGGTTAAAAGAATTTATGAAAATGGTTACGTGGTTGGTATGGAAGAACTTGTGGTCTTCCTTTGTCGGGACAGAAAATTATTAGAGGCATATGAGTTAATGATGTTTAGTGTGAAAAATGACCAGCATATTGGTGAAACCTCATGTAGTACAGTTTTGACCGAGCTTTGTAAGGGTCGCAGGTTATCAGAAGCGTTTCAGGTTTACTATGAATTATTGGAAAAGGGTGTCAAACTGCCTATGAGCTGTCTTGTGGAGTTACGAAGTGCACTGGAAGCTGGTGGAAAGTTGAAAGAAGCTCAATTTGTTGCTAAGAGAACGAGTGCCTAGTTCATAGTTTTTGTACTGTAGCTTTTACGACTTTTCATGGAAAAAGAATTCACCAGCCTTCGTATATCTTTTTGCTTACGGTGAAAGAAATTTGTACTTTTTACCTCCAAATTACTGCAATATTCTCATTTTTTGGGTGGTGATCATCTTTTTCTTTTCTCATTTTTGTTTTGTTTTCTTTTCTTTTTCAACTTTATGCTGTTCTACTTCTATCGATAAATAACAACATAAACCGAGATGAACGAATATACAAGATAAAACAACTTTAACATTTGCCATTTCTGGAGATGATACATTGTCTTTTGTTCTGCCCCTAAAAGCCTCTTCTATTATCATATCAAAATGTCAAAGAAAAAGGAAGA